AGTGAAGGAGAAATAGTTTGATGATCCCTACTTGTTGTAGCTGAAAGATGGGATTCATAGGCATAAAATGATAGCTTCGGAATAAGGGGGAGATGATAGTACTTTGAGGTACCACGACAGATTGTGTGTTCCAGACATAGATGGACTTAAAGAGGGAAGATCATGCTAGAAGCCCAGAATTTCAGGTATTCTATTTACTCAGGTACCAAAAATATGTATCATGGTCTTAAGAAGGTTTATTGGTGGACCAACATGAAAAAGAACGTCACAGACTTTGCGGCCAATTGTCTGAATTGTCAGCAAGTGAAAATCAAGTAGCAGAAAGCCTAGTGTTTTATCACAGAATACACATATTTGAGTGGAAATGGTAAATATGAAATTTATAACGGGATTATCTTGCTCATTTTAAAAGCATGATTTGATTGGATTATTGTAAATCGACTTACCAAGTCAGCACATTTCTTGCCAGTAAAGACTACAGATACAGCAGAAGATTATACCAAGTTATACATTCAGGAAATCGTCTGATTGCATGGGACTCCGTGGTCTGTCATTTCGAACTGTGGTGCTAAGTTTACAATGAACTTTCATAAGTCATTTTCGAAAGGACTTGGCACAAGTTTTTCATCCTCAGAAAGATGGCCAGGCAGAGCGCATTATTCAAACAGTTGAGGATATGTCCTTGATGTTAAAAGTAATTGGGATGATCACATAACTCTCATTGACCTTGCTAATAATAAACTACCATACTAGTATCAAGATGGCACCGCACGAGACTCTGTATGGGCAAAGGTGTAGATCGCCAATTGGTCGGTTGAAAGTTGGTGAAGAGGAGTTGTTGGGACAAAAATTGGTCTATCAGACTATGTAGAAAGCTAAGTTGATTCAAGAACGTGTGAAGACGACTCAGAGCCGCCAAAAGTCCTATTCGAAGATGCAGCATAGTGAACTAGAGTTTAAAGTTGATGATTGGGTGTTTCTGAAAGTTTCGCCTATGAAAGGAGTTATGAGATTTGGGAAAAAGGGGAAGCATAGTCCCTGCTATATTGGGCCATATAGATTCTTGCGAAGGATCGGTCAATTAGCTTATGAGTTAGAGTTGCCACCAAAATTTGCGGCGGTACAACCAGTATTTCACATATCCCACTATAGCATTCAAGTTTCTAGTACTCAGATACTCATGTCAGTTTAATACTCAGATACTCATGTCAGTACAATACTCGGATACTCATGTTAGTCCAATACTTAGACATTCATGCCAGCTTAGTACTTAGATTACTCAAATATTCGTGCCAGTTCAATATTCATATACCTATGTTAGTTCAGTATTCACGTATCTATGGCAGACCAATATTCAGTCAATGCAGTAGTCATTCAGTTCAGTATCTCAATAGTTCAGTAATCATGTATTCATTCAGGTTAGTATGCAAGTGTTAATGAAAGTTCATGTTTCCACCAGACCCGTTTAAGGTCCGGAGTTAGCAGAAGTTACAGTCAGGACAATCATTTGAGGATGAATGATCCCAAGGGGGAGATAATGTAACACCCCGTACATTCGGACTAGGTGTGGATATGTTAAATGGGTATTAATTTGATATTTTAGACATATGAAGTCCTAGAGGGATTATTATTGGTGAAAATAATTGTTTCGGAATCATGATGGAGAGTGAGGTGCATAAGATTCGACAAAATCGACTAAGTTTGCAGAAAGTCTGTCTTCCAGCAGGTTTTAGTGAAAATTTTTAAGGCATTTGGCAAAACACAAAGCATGAAAGCTGTAGGCATTTGCAGTAGCTTTCTAACGATATATTGTGGAGCCCAAATGGAGCTTTGTGCAAAACATTATGCCCGTTTATAGAATAATGCACAACCACCGAGCCCGGACCGCGACCGCGGTCGTAAGGCAGTGTTCCTGTTATTTACCGTGGTCGGGCCGCGGTCAGGCCTACAGGGGGCGCGGTGGCGGACTTGGGGAGTCATTTTTTAAGCCCTATTTCGTCCCCCACAGCCCCAAAATATAAAAACTTGCTCTAGGAAGGGGAGCTCTCAAAAACCTAACTCCTTAAGAGTCCCTCCACCACCCAAGGTAAGTTCCAATGGTGATTCTAAGTTAATTTTAATTTACCAACATCTTATTAACATGGATAAACCCTCCATATCATTAGATATTCGATTGGGACATCATTGTTGAGAGAAGGAACCCAAGAACTCGAATTCAAGGGGATTGAACTTCAAAAAGGTAATGTCTTCACCCTTTAATTGATTCTAGCATTGGATTAATGATTATAGACTCTAGTTCATGAGATATGAGTTGATGGGTTTGATAAAAAAGCATGAACGATCATAGGTTTGGGGTGTTGATTGTTGATTATTGGTTAAGGGTGTTATTTACCTTATGGGTAATAAAGAATAATGTTGATTATAACCATTTGAGACTTTAGAATTTATCTAGGAATAAGAGAATGGGTTATTGGGTGTAGAGACACCATTAATAAGGACTATGAAGCTTTATTTTCACCAAGTGTTTGATAAGATGCTTAAATGACCAAACATGAGAATTATTGCTAATATGGAATTCCTTTGACTTGTATTGATTTAGATTAAAGTTGAAAGGGTTGACAAACGTTGTATTATGCTCAAGAGCAAGAAGTTAAGGTATGTGAGGCTAACTCTCTATGTTTGAGAATTTTAATGATTCTCCCTACACTACGTTTCTTTTACGGCGTTACCAATTGCCTCAGAAATATAGTTAAGCCTAGTTCCTTGAATAATTGTAGAACTTCTATTCTCTAGCTTCATAACTCGTTCACCACTTTCATTCTGAACGTTGTGAGCTCAGTGCGTATTCAATATAGACTTGGGTTTGATGCCCCCGGGTCTTAGCATAGATTACTTAGTATGTCATAAACTGTTGAAGTTTCAGTGTTCATAATCAGTTCAAGAATACATGTCTCAGTCTAGTCCTATTCAGTATTCCAGTATTATGTAGCTCAGTGTGATCCAGTATTTCAGTATCATGTAACTCAGTGTGATTCAGTATTTCACTATCATGTATTGCAGTTTGATTCTCAGTTCCTGAATGTTGAACACCTGTATTTGGGCCTGCGGCCGTAGTTTATATGCTTTATGCATACTTGGGCCTAAGGCCGTAGTTTATGCTTTATGTATGTTTGGGCCTGAAGCCGTAGTTTATGCTCTATGCATGTTTGGGCCTGAAGCCATAGTTTATGCTTTATGTATTTTTGGGCCTGAGGCCGTAGTTATGTATACGTATACTTGGGCCTGAGGCCGTAGCTTTGTGCACATATATATTGGCCCCGAGGCTGTAGCTTATTAAGATAAACGGGTTGTTCATCATTCAGAAGAGGGAGTATTCATATTCTTACTTCCTTTGGTCAGTTCAGTTATCAGTTATCATTTCAGTTAGCAGTTATCAATTATCACTTATCAGTTATCACTTCAGTTATCAGTTATCAGTTATCATTTCAGTTCAGTTTTGATAGTTATCATTTCAGTTATCAATTATCAATTCTCAGTTATCAGCTCAGTTTCAGTTTCAGCATTTATAATTCTTTCTTTCAGTTGCTTTACATATCAGTGCAATTCAAATGTACTGACGTCCCTTTTGCCCGGGGCCTGCATCTCACGATGCAGGTAATGATATACAGGTTGATGATTCAGAGCGCTAGGATTCTCGTACCAGCTACTTGGTGATCCCAGTTCTTCCGGGGCATTATCATTACCTTACAGTCTTCAGTATTTTCAGACAGTCAGTGTTTTTAGTACTTCATTAGAGGCTTCATAGACTAGAGTAACAGTTAGACATAGTCATAAGCTTTTCATGTTAAGCAATGTTAGCTACAAGTATGTTTCAGAATTGTATTAGTATTTCCGCACTTTGATTTTTTTATCATTCAGACTTTCAGTATAGCAGCATGTGTTAGTTTATCTTCCGCATTTAGTATGTTATGATATCACATGTTGATTCAGCCAGCCAGTTGGTTCGCTCGGTCACATGTAGTCAGGCACCGAGTGCCGTGTTACGTCCAGGCCTAGGTTCGGGCCGTGACATAGGGTTAAAACTAGTGGGCCAATTGTAAAAAACTCATTTTTTCTATGCTCTCATCGGATAATGGATACACCTTCTATCGGTAGCGATTTTCTCCATTAATCTTAGTTCTAACTTTAATTGTTTTGTCTATTCATGTTTCTGTTCGAAAATCGGGATAAAAACTAGAGTTTTGCTCCCGAATTGGTATAGAAGATTGGGTTTTGACAAGAAAGGGAGAATTTCAGATGGATTCAGATGAAGAAATAGAGAAGAAAGGTGAAAAAATGGAGAAAAAAGGTAAAAAGATGAGGAAGGAAGGTGAAATATAAAGAAAAAGATGAGAAAATAAAAAGAAATATAAATTTTAAAAAAAGAAAGGCTAATTAGCCATTAAACATTGTCAGGTGGGCTATTTTAATGGCATTTTTCCGCCTTCACACGCTTTTTGGCGATTTATTATACACATTATGCCACATAAGCGACGAGGGATTTTTATTATGAATGGGAGTTCAGGGAGTTTTTGGGACATGCGATAATTTAGGTAGGGAACTGACAAAAGTTGTATAGTTTAAGCGGGATTTATAACTAATGAATTTAATTTTTAAATTTGTAAAGATTCAAATTGGGGGTTCTTCAAATTTGCAAACTAGGAATTCTCCCAAAAGGGATCATATTCAAGAAGTCATGGATATCCATATTATCCGCCGGTTAACTCGTTTTTTTATCCGAATTAAATATGGGTCGAGTCGGATAATTTATCCGTTTTGCATTATCCATTTTCGACCCGGCCCATATCCGAACCGACACACCCGTTTGCCACCCCTATATCGGAATTTCATCTCTTTTTCCCTGCTTACTCTACAAATACACATCCATTTCACAAGTCTAGGAAGATTGTGCACAAATATGTCCCATTAATGTGACAAAATTTGCTTCAATAAGTACAATATCAAAGAAAAGAAGGTACTGATAATGATTAAATGAAGGAAATGCTTACAAATCATAGTCACATTGCCAAAAATTTCCTAAAATTCACAATAACCTGATCAAACTTTTATTTGTTTCTTCTTCAAACAACCAAACAAGTCTAATCTTAGTACACTTCCAAAATTCAGGTGGGTTGCTTTTTTTTTCTTCTTATGTTAATTTGCAATTTTGCTAACAAGTAATGGCCACCAGAGAGGAAAAGTAAGGACAATGACAAGCAAAATGATAAGGAAAATGGCAATGCAAGTACACTTTCTTGAGCTTTTCTGTAGCTCCCTAGCTTCTGTTAGTTGCTCAGTCCCTCGCCTAACGAAAGAACTTGCATGTGCCACATGACTTTCAATATCATTCAATTGTTGGCCTTGTGCTTCCACCAATGCAGCCATGTCTAGAAATATTTGGTGTAGCTCAATCAAATTCTTCTCAATCTCCTTCACAGCATCATGTCTTTCTTGTATTTCTGAAATAGTGTCCATAATCTGGCCCCTACCTGTTAGGATCGAAATAATAAGGTGTTATACAGAAACTAACATAGCAAACCCTGAATAACATATAACATAAATCAGATGACAAAAGAGAAATATATCAAAGGAAAATTAAAAAGTTAATGTAGTTAAGTCATTGACCTACATAGAGGAAGATGAGCAATCATCACTATTCATAGAGATTATACAAAAGAGAATTCAAATCCAGAGAATAACCTCATAAAATTCGCTCAAAAGAAAGTTGACAACTAAAATTTGTGTTTCACAAATTCTTTCCTTAAACTGAGTCTATACAGTGGATGCGTTGCCATTTTTTTTATATAAAAAAAGAGCATGAGAAAAACAAACATGTTAAGAAAATCAGGGCAGACAACAAATAGTATACCTTGTTCTTGGATTGCCTTCTGGAGGAAGGACTCACTCTCCCCGCTCGATATTAGATTTTCGATCAAATCATCATTCGCCTTTTCTCCTGTCACAGTAAAGTATCTTCTTGCAACGGTCTCCTTATATTCATCATTCATTCTCGCCCTTAATGCCTGGAAATCATCCATGAGGACTTTTAATTTCTTCCCTAACCCGCTAACTACTGAAGTCCTCGTTCGATCTGCAGAAGAACCAGGACCACAACCTGGGATTTTCCTATGAGCTGCATTGGATCGTTCGAGGGCTTCCAGTTTTCCTTTGATCATCTTGACGCGTTTCAAGACCTGTGATACATCTGAGTCCATCCTAGACCTTATTTCTTTGACAGTCTTGGCATTATGTACAAGTTTGCTCTCTTCATTTGATTCTTGTAGTTTTTTGTAGAGCTTTTCGACATTCTTCATATCCTCTTTCACATTCTCTACATCTTCAAAGAATTTAGCAAGATCAATGCTTTCATTTTCTGATTGGCTAACTTGACCACCCTCTAGATCATCCACTTGGACATGTTTTTTAAGGTCTTGGTACTTTTTAAACGAATTAGAGAACAAGTCATTCATTTTTGGCTGATTTCAATTTTCCTTTGTTCCCAAATTGGACAAAATTAGCCTTGGCCTGAGTCTTTCCAAATGGTGACACAATATTTTCTTTGGTTGCTACTCAACATAAATTGTTGCCGCTCCCAAGCCTTGGTAAAGGAGGAATGAATGCTCGCGGCAGGTTGACAGCCAGCGTAAAACTAATCAATTTATGAGCGCTCCCAATTTACTTATGATTGAGGCGCGATTATTGTTGTTGTTGTGGAAGGGAAAAACGTTGTGCCCTTCTCTAAACCTTCTCTCCTCTCTCCTTGCAGGAATATTAGAAGTACATAAATGGGAGGATTGGAGGAAGAAGAAGAGAAGGCGACAAGAGCAAAGCCTTCATTAAGAGATTAAAACTAACAAAAATCATTATTTGTTAAAAGATTAGGAAGACATAATAATTAGAGGCTATGCAGTAAGTATAACTAAATTAAATTAAAGTTCCACCAAACCAATCTGTGAGGAAGGTCGTTAAAAAAGGAGCAGTTTCTCTGCCACTTGGAGTGTGATTTCTCCTTCATAACATTAACGTACCGAAGATTTGTCTTGACCTTGTCTAGTCAATTTATTCGCTTCACTATCAAATAATTTGATAAAAGCTAAAGTCAATTTTCGACGTGACGCACTTGCATTTTTGTATGTACTTTTTCTTATTTTTTTTGGGTATAATGCAATTATTACTACGTACTACAGGTTTATTTCAGTGCCACTCCGTAACAATTGGCTCTATGTCCTTTGTAAGCCACAAATACAGTGGTGAAATTAAAGACTCAATATGTTCTTAAAAAGTAAATAATGTGACGATTGAGAAAGTAGAGAAAGAAATAACTTCGACACACACATAGAAAATGGTCTCTTATGGATACTTACAATCCGAATAGAAGAAAATAATAATTATATTTTATTATATTTCTTGCCTCCGGTCCAAATTACATGTTATGACATTTTACATCTTGATCACAGCTAGGCAATGCTAGTGGTGTCTTGTCGAAGAAATAAGCATTGCCGGTGGTGCAACTCGCCCGATGCAAATTCCAAATTAATCGAATCAGTGAATTTCGAATATCGAATAATTTAACTTGAAAAATAGTCTAAATTTGTAAAGTGGTTGATACACAATGATTTTTTATTATAGAAAAAGCTTCTGTCTTTGATAGATATGGACTTAAGTACCTAATAACTAGCTCCTCGTGTACTATGGATCATGGACATTTCCACCACCATTTTTCTTATCTCAACCTTGTCTTCGAGCTACTACCCACTCTTGGAGTTTGTTTTCAAGTGTTGAGAAAGTTTTGAATATTCTATATTAAATTTTTTAAACAAAAAATCAACAGGAAAAAGTATTTAAATTTTTGTAAAAATTGAAAACTACTTTGGGAGTAGTTTTCTGGTTTTCCTTTTTAAACTAAAAACTTTTCTAATGGCATTTGATTGAAAAAGTTTTCCTAAATTCTCCCATTCTTCTTCAACTCTTGTAAAAGCTGAAAGTTTTTCTTACTATTTTTTATACCTATGTTGGAAACAAATGTCACCATTTAAATTGAACTGTCCGAGCCCAAGCAATAATCCTAACAAGTTTATCTTTAAATTGAGTCGACGTAACGCCAAAAAAAAAAAAAAAAAAGAATCTCAATGTTCCAACAATTAAAGTACACAAGAATATGAGAGCAAAAATTTGACTTACTTTTGTTGACGTGAAAGTACAACATGTTACACCTCCATTCTATTTTATGTGACGTAATTCGGAGTACGAGGGTCAATTTGATTAATTTTTTTCTATGTAAACTCGGATATAAAATTTTTAAATCTACTCGAATAAAATTTACATATTTAGAAACTACATGAATGTACTATAAATTACACTCGTTAGTAATTTATAAAATATTTGAAAAAAGCATGATCAAAGAAAACCTTCTTTGACTCTCCAAATAGTTGTTGACTAATTGTGTCACATAAAGTGGACCGTAGGGAGTATTTATATTTGAAATTTAAACTAATTATCTATAGAGCATTGTATTTTCTCCTATACTATATAAAATAAGTGGGTTCCTCGAAATTAAACCATGCCATTTCGAAATATTAAAATCAAATAAACCAAATGAAAAAAGTAAAAATGACAAATAAATATAATGGAAGTTGTAATATTTAAATAATTTGCATGAAAGCAGACATCTCCGACCTTAGCTCAGTTGGTAGAGCGGAGGACTGTAGTTTGTATAAACAGCTAATCCTTAGGTCACTGGTTCGAATCCGGTAGGTCGGATTTCTTTCCCTTTTCTTTTTCCATTTAAATCTTGATGTTTACTATAGCCATATAACCAATTATGCATAAATAATACTGTATAATGGTAAAAAATCAAGGACCCTCCCCCCTTTTACCTCATGAAGAGGAAAGTAAAATTGGTTTCAAATTGAAATTTTTTAGCATTGCTTTGCTGAAATTACTGTATCCCTCAAAATGTAATAAGTTGGCTCCGCATTCAATGAAAGTTGGCAACTTATCGCGTTAGCTTCAACAGTTTACTGAAAACCAAAAACTTGCAGATTTATATAAATGAAATGAATATGTTTCAGCTACCTATAAAAAGATCTTTAATACCATAGGAAACTATTATACATACTTAATTCCACGTCTTATGGGGGATCATCAAACCAATAAATAAGCGTAGTTTGAAATAAGAAATGATCAGGATCAGTTGAGTCCCAACTTAAATTTTTTGCTATCCTTGGGGCATATTCCAAGCATATCACAAACCTAACATGATATTTTCTACATCTTGGGACACTTCAAGCACACAATTAAGCTCGTAATTAATTGTAATTGAAATTTAAAATATTCGGATTTTATATTCTTCCTCACTTATAAATATTCATCCTCGAAGAACTGTGCATATGAGACTTACTTCCTTACAGGCTAATTTCTAAAACAATTAGTATCCAATTATGTGATTATGAAATATGAACAACCCTGAAAGCTTATTCATCAATACTTACATAATTAACATACTTCTATTTTAGAACAACTGTGCACAAATTACTTTTTGACCAAATTAACTGGTTATTGATGTAGAAATGGGCTATTAATTTAGTAAACGGAGAAGGGCCAAATATACCTGTATTGGGAAAAAACTGAATTTATATATTGAAGATGACGTGTCATGACACGTGGATTGGTCAAATGGTCAAAACGTGGTAATCAGTTAGGAGGCACGAGCAACAACAGATGCGGGAGAGAAGATACTTAAAGGCACGAGCTATTATTCAAATGAAATGAGACTCGTACCTGTTCGAGTCATTTAAAGCTCGAAGATCAGAAGGAATTGAAGACATGAATCTGATAGCTTAAAAGAGTCCAAATTCAGCATTAAATGCCAAATACGTTAGAGAATTTGTATTTAATAGGAATAATTGAGTAACGTTTCTTTTAATGTCATTTATTGCTCATAATTGCCTCATTAAGACAAAGGCATTACACTTTCTCCTAGAATTAACTATAAAAGGGGAAGGTCTCAACATCTGTAGGACACGAAATATCATTGAGATTATACTGAAATATATACTTATTCATTGCTTTATTGTTGTTCTCAAAATCTCTCATTTCTTGATTATCAGTTACCCGATTTCTCTCTTAATTTCTAGCTTTAATCAAATATTCAGTTTTTTGGTTAAACAAATTGGTTCCGTTACCGGGAATCTGATAATCTATTCTTTTTAAGTTACATTTTATCTGTTGTTATCATCATGTCAAACAACAACAACAACAATAACGGTGATGAAAATCAAATCCATCAGAATCAAGGCGATTTACAAAACATTAACGTGGTTCCTTCCCCTCAAAATTCACCGCGTCAATCTCGTGAAGGTACTCCTGCTCCTGAATCTCGTGCTGATGAACAAGAGCAATCTGAACATTTTGAAGGGCCAGATGAAGCTTTACAAAAAGTAATTGATGCACGGGTTAGCAAAGCTCTTCAAGCTCTAGTTAGTCGATTACCTGTTGCACCACCCACACCTACGCCTAATAACAATACATTGGAGAATCCTCGTTCTGGCCTTGTTAATTCTGGAAATGGAGGAACCCCCAGTGAACCACAGGAAGGAGAACCAGGTAATTCAAATAATTCTCATTTGCAAAATTTAGTACTAACTTTGCAGAAATAGCTTAAGGAACAAAATGAGCGCATCGAGCAAATCCCTGGAGTTCCCCCTGTAATCAAAGGAGTAGATGTGGATAAATACTCGCAACAACCTTGGAAACCAAGTGCTGCTCCCCTTTCAATCCCTAAAAAGTTCAAAATGCCTGACATCTCGAAATATGATGGCACAACAGACCCACGTGATCACGTAACTGCATTTACTACAGGTGTAAAAGGCAACGATTTGACCAAGCAAGAAATTGAATCCGTGTTGGTCAAGAAATTTTGGAAAAACACTCACCAAAGGTGCATTAACCTGGTATTCTCTTTTACCTGAAAATTCTATAAACTCTTTTGCTGAGCTTGCAGATTCTTTTATTAAAGCGCACTCGGGAGCTCAAAAGGTTGAAAAAAGAATGGAAGACATTTTCAAAATTAAACAAGGGGACTCAGAGTTGCTCAGAGATTTTGTTGATAGATTCCAACGTGAAAGGATGACTTTACCCCGTGTACCTGATAATTGGGCTGCAATAGCTTTTGCTAGCAACTTAAATGATAAAAGTTCATAAGCCACGAGAAGACTTAAAGAAAGCCTTCGAGAGTTCCCTGCAACCACGTGGAATGACGTTTATAACAGGTACAGTACGAAGTTGCGAATTGAGGAAGATACCGTACCTCAGTTTCATCATGAAGAAAGGAGCAATTCCAGGAGGTCAGAAACCGAAAAAAGATCAGGTAAAAACAAATACGATCCATATATGGGACCTGCAGGAAAAGACTCACGGTCAAAGCAGGATAATCAACGATATGATCAAAAATCGAGGAACAGGGAATCTGGTTCTTCATCAAGGTTCAGAAATGACCGAAACAGACAAGAGTCACGAGATGATGACAGAAGTTTAAAGGCGAGATTCGGTGGATATAATTTCAATGTTACTACCTCCGAGCTCGTAGCTATTTTGAGGAGCATGGGAGATAAGGTCCGGTGGCCAAAAGAGATGCGGTCAAATCCAAATAGGCGCAATCCAGATCATTGGTGCGAATTCCACAATGATCACGGGCACAAGACTTCAAGAATGTAGATTCTTACAAAGTGAAGTGGACCATCTGTTGAAACAAGGGTATCTCACTGAGTTATTTAGTGAGAAAGGTAAGCAAGCCTATATGAAAAACAGGCAAGAGCCACCAAAGCGCCCATCACCCACGAGAACCGTGAATGTT